TTCTCTTCAGCAAACAAGTTTTGTGTAGATTATTGCACTTTGGTTGCTGGGCAACAAGGTAAACAGTGGTTTAATCTAATATGGGATCATGTTAAGGGAATGGTTGTATAACCCTTTGGACCCCATCAGGCCAAGGCCAACTATGCCATTCTAATAGACTCACTCAATCTCAATTAGAACTAAACCGATACAAACATGGCCTCCATTCACATATAAAGATAAATTGGAGTACTGGTCAAAAATCAAATTCATTGCAAAAAAAGTTGTTAAAAAGTTATTCTGAATGGTTGATTACGTCATAGATATGCCATTCAGACTGCTGATAGCCATTGCTATACCTTGGTAGCAGGAATAATAGGAGTAATGTTTATTCTTCTACCAGGTTGGTATTCATAAAAACCTTGCTAAAAATAACAATGTGACAAGTACGACACACAGATGTGAGGACACGGAAGAACACTGACACGCAGCATAAGATTGGGTCCACAGTTGCAAATAATTTCTTTCCAAATGTGAGATATAAGAACACTTCAAGAGAACTTCTTTTTATGAGACATTGCTTCTGTGATATTCGTCCAGATGAGAATACAATATAAGAAAGCTCACTAATTATTTTCACCTTGTCAGAAATCAACCTTTTCTTCCATAATCAATGTACATATGCCTGCGTCTTGTGTGGATTTCATCATAATAACAATGATAAAGGCCCTTGAAAAATGCATCTCTTTGGAGTTGGTCAACCATTTTTTCATGGAGGAGATAAATTCTTGTCTGGATACTTCATCATTTTAAAGGCCCAAGATAACATAATCACATGCCGACATGAACAAAAGAGCACAGCTCAATGCCATTACCCCCACTTAACATGTACTTGTAAGGAATCATTATCTATTTGTTGATTAGCTTTGACATGATGAGGGGGAGGAGAAGATGCGACAGAGGTGGACAACTTCCGCGTGTGGCCCTCTCACTTTAAGGCTCTCAAAGGCTTGCAATTTGTAACAAAATACACACAAATTTGTGTTTTCTAATGGAACAGTCCCATTCAATGATTGTCTGTAAGACTTACATATCTTACTGATGTAACAGATAAATATACTTATATATATATTATTATATATATTCTTTGTTTTGTATACATAAAATACATATGAATATATATATATATATATGAATTGCAGTTTTACGAAACTTGCTTAATTGTACATATATATATATATATATATATAAATATAGCAATGCACAACCGATGTTGAAGAGTGTTTTGGGGTATGTGAACGAAGCCCAGGCCCAGCCTACACGATTGGGTTGATTACCTGAATGAAGGTGCCAATTTGCCGATTTAGATCTTATCTCTGATTGCCTGCAAGTATCATGATGAAAGTGATGCAATTATGACATGCCTGTACAGACAGTATTCATAATAAGATGTCTGGGGAGAGAGAGAAAGAGAAAGAAGAACTGTGGGTGTGGGTGTGGGTGGGGGGTGGGGGCTACACTTTTTAAGAGTGTAATGATCACAAGAAGGCATATTACAAGGGGTGAAGTGGAAAGAGTCAAGTGAGAGGATAGATAGGAGAAGATTAAGGGGGAGAGAGAGAGAGAGAGAGAGAGAGAGAGAGAGAAGGATTAGGGTTGTGAGAGCAAGCTAAAGAGAGAGAAAGAGAGAAAGAGAGCGCAACCCAGGAGAACGAGGGAGACAGCGAGGGAAAGTGGGAGAGAGTGTGTGTGTGTGTGTGTGTGTGTGAGAGATAGAGAGAGAGAAAGAGAGAGAGAGATTTTTTTTTTAGGGGGGGGGAGGGAGGTGACAGAAAAAGCAAGTGACATAAAAGTCAAATGAGAAAGAGGAAGAAGAGAGAGAGACAGAAACAGACATTCACGGGGAGGGGGGGGGGGGGGGGGGAGGAGGGGGTGTTGAAGGGGTTCACAAGAGAAGAAGACGGACAGCATGTCAGTCCACATGCTATCACCCTGTACCTCTATTTATAGTGTGACACATTTGAAGGAAGATGTCAGCGAATAAAGAGGAAACCAAAGGGAAATCCCCCTCAGGGCATTAGTTTGTTGTCATTACATAGGTCAGCCCATCAACACCACAAGTTCAAAATTATAACTCAACCCACCTCCCCTTCAACCACCCTCCCCCTCTCACCCACTCTTATCAATCCTTATTCTTCCACTATTAAGGTATGTTACCTTAAACTAGGTACTTGATTAAATCAGGTAGAAAATAAAGTTGGAAAGAATCTACATGTATTCAGTTGCAGGGAAGAAATGATGTTAGCAAAATTGTAAAGACTTTCAAAAAACAGTAAACCAAAGGTAATTTCCATAGCCATGTCCATCGACCGTTAAAAATGTGCAACCATTACAACAACGCATTATTTTAATCTGAATGTGATGTACAAAAGGGAAATGAAATCTCTTTTGAGTTGAGTTTCCAGAAGTCTCTCATCATGTTTGTTCCTCCAAGAACATCACTTTCATGGAGAGCGTTACTCTTCACCTGAAATGTCTATTGAGAACCAGATGGGCTTTTGAATCATTAGGGGAACTCAGACTCCAGAAACATAGGACCCACCCAGAAAGGTGTCCGTCCATACAGTGGAACCTTAAGAGCTCTGATTATTTGATATAACAAGGTAATTTCCTTGGTCCCAAGGATCTCATTATAACGAGTTTCCACTGTACAATTCATAGCAAAAATGCAAGGCTCTTTTGATTTGGAATTGAATAAAACAAACTTTTCGTCCCCCTTGGCTTCACAAATATGTTTTGATTATACCACAATTAAAACAGTTTTAGTACAAAGATTCTATACTATCTGGGCAGTTGATCAAGACATGACAAAATAAAAGACATGATTGTAAATCGTTTAAGTCATTCATGATTTTCTTAATCAGGTTAATACCATAAAACACCTACATTTCCTATAATTTCTTTTTGTGGGTATTAAATAATTAAATGAAGGTCTCCAATTTTCTTTGTTGATGTAAATAGGCCATTTTCGTAATGTTGAAACAAGTTGAATGCATTTGTAACATGATACTTTACAAAGATTTATGCATTAAATTTGATTACATTACGAAAACGGCCTCTTGTTTGATATATTTTTGCATATTGTATGGATGAAAATAAACAGGTATGAAATTATAAAAACCTTGCGTTTGTCCTTGAAATTGAAAATGATAGATAAATGCTGGAATATATAAATATCCATACATAAATAAGGATGCAACTATTCATAGCATTAATGTGTTCCATAATATTTCAATCACTGGACTGTCAATATTGAGTATAATTATATACATTATATTTAAGGCAACTTTTTCAACAGCTGCGTATCAAAGAATTATATTATTCATAGTAATCAACAAACTGAATGACATCACAATCATTAGATTCATGGTCATTGTAATATTAATGCTTTTATGATATTATACATTTATTCTTGGAAAAATATTCAATAATATTTCTAAAAAACACTCTTCCTACAGATACTCACAATTGATACCAATTAGCACATAGGCCATAATCACGAAGGTATATAAAAGTTAAACCTGGATTAAACTAGTCCTTGGACTAACTAATCATGGTTTAACTTAAGACCATGAACTAATTAACCATGGTTAAACTCAAGTACATGAACTAACTAACCATCTTTTAACTTAAGTCCACAGACTAACTTAGTCCTTGGACTAACTTATCAACATTTAACTTAAATCCATTGAGTAACTTAGTATTTGGACTAACTAGTTATCGTTTAACTTAAGTCCATGGACTAAAGTTATTACACCTTTATGAATCTGGGACATAGACATTTATACCTCAGTCACTATGCAGTCACTATGCCAGCCCGACTCCACACCATCTCCCAAATGACCAATTTCAATCCATCCATCCATGGTACAGTCAAACCTGTTTATAAAGGCCACTCAAGGGAAACAAAAAGAGGGGCCACTGTAGGCAGGTGGTTGCTCTATACAGGTTCTACAACACACATTTCTTCCTCAAGGGAGACAAAATACAAGGCCACTATAGACAGGTGGCCTTTCTAGACAGGTTCTACAACACACATTTCTTTCTCAAGGGAGACTTAATACTTGGCCACTATAGACAGGTGGCCTTTCTAGACAGGTTCTACAACACACATTTCTTTCTCAAGGGAGACTTAATACTTGGCCACTATAGACAGGTGTTCTTTATAGAGAGGTGTCTACCAAGACAGGTTTGACTGTAGCATAATTGCTTGTTTGGTTTGTTAATGGTCTCTAGTTGGTGTGACTTAATTATTCTGAAAGCACTGCATTCCTCAAGAAAAATTAGATCTTGAAACTATTGTTTATTATGAATCAATTGTACACATTATTGCAGTATATATTTCAAAATTACTTTCTAAAATCTTTCAAAAATATATAGTAGAAACCTGAAAAATGGAAGGCACAGCATACCCGTCTTACAAAGAGTTGATATCAATCGCAACTTATTTGCAATATATATCAATCACAAGTATGTACACAAGAGATAGAAGACTGCAAACTTGCGATTGATTAGAGGACTTACGATCAATTTGGATCAATCGCAACTCTTTGTAAGACGGGCCCCAGAACATACAAAAATCATAGAAAATATAAAATAGAAAACAAATTTCATCAAATATTCTGTAACATGGCGATCGTTGCTACTGCTAGTACCACCTAAAAAAAAAGAGGAAATATCCCCCCTTTCTCACTAATACATTTCTCATTTATTGTTCAGCCTTTATGTAAACCAATGCCAGGCTTCATGACAATTTAAAGGGGAAGTTAACTTGTTTTTCATAAAAGCAGAAAAATGAGAGAAACAAGCTAGTGAAAGTTTGAGCAATATATTCCTGTTAAAAATAGGAAAGTTATTAATTTTTTAAGTTGTCATCAGTGAAACACAAATTGCAAACATTGTGACATATCTTGCAAGCTCCTCTCCAATTTGCAATTTGCAATTATTTGTATTTTTTTTTCTTCTAAAAATTTCACTGACCCTTTTCTCTCATTTTCAGTTTCTATTAAAACCAAATTAATATCAGGGTGGACTTCCCCCTAAAAGGACTAGACATAAATTTATATTCCTCAAATTTTTCTTTCCTGGAATGTTTATGAACAACCATAGAAAACATGTCAGGACTAGTAACCCTAATCGAGTTTTGAGCACATAATAAATGTTTCCATAAACAATAATGATAATATTGCAATTTCCTACTATTTCCTGCAAAGACGAGGGGAAAACCATTCCATCTATCTCCCATCTTTCTCCCGTTCCGTTGGTTGATTGCAACATCGCAATAAATGATAACCAAAGCATTGTACTCAAATATCTAAGTTGACAATTGAGATTCTTCACCATGTTTCCCCCTCTCTGATTTCTCCTTTTTTTATTCAAAGAAGCTTCAAGAATTAAAAATAAAAGGTCTAGCTAATATGGAGAGTAGATTAGATAAAATACACAGAAAATGAGCGTGAAATACCTGTACTAATAGTGAACTGTGGCGTGCCATATTTCCATGGCACTGCCTGCAGCTAAAATGCTTCGTTGATCTGAGGTTAAACTATTTTTGGGGAACCATTTTCTTTTACTAAAAACATTATGGTATATAATAGCATTAAAAATAATGGCAGCCCATTTTTGTACATATAACAATACAGTCCTATGTTTCTCTGAAGTGCTTTGAAAAGTATCATCATAATTTGTGAGACCCTTGTAAGGATACAAGATGTTTCAGTCCACTAACTTATTGGTGTACCTGAGATTTCAATTGCGCTTAGATGTTGTGATTGGTATCATTAGAATCTCAACCATTTATCATGAAGTATGAAAGACACTTATATTTTGCATCATTAAAGGACTTTAGCTAGTACAACCAGATTTTGTATCAAGTATCACCAGGCTAAAAGATCTTTTGCACTCCACAGTCTGAACTACCTCAAAGACTTGTATGAGGTTTTCTGAAGTAGCAACAAGTAATGCATACAATATTTTGATTTTGGAGATGGTCACTTGTTAGGAAGATTGAATAGAGGAGGCGCAATGGCCCAGTGACAGACCAGTGGTCTTCTAACCTGGAGGTTGTGGGTTCAAAAACCAAGTTGATGCGCTAGTGCCCTTTGCTAAGGCCCTTTGCTAAGGCATTACATCTCATCATCGAATCCCTTGGAGAGAACTGAAGCCATTGGCTCCCTGGATGTTTACTTACAAGTATACACATGCTTTCTTAGCAGTCAGGTAAAACTAACCATCAAACCATCAATAAGTCTTTTCACTGCAAATAAAGAAGAATCACCCTCTAATTTGACTACATATATGAAAACATAGTACACTGTTTCAAGGAATAAACACTACCCGATACCCACTTACTAGACCTGGGTCGAGAGTGGCAGATGCATATTCATGTCTTTCCAAAGGACATTAATGACGTGCCAAGGCTCGAACCCATAACCTTCTAAACCCCAGTAAAGAGCTCACATCATTTGACTATGACACATCTTGCAAACCCTTATTCAATTCAACCCTGGATTCTATCACCATACTATCAACAAAACTACCTTGTCTATCTATCTAACAAACACACTCAAGACAGTAACCTTGACAAATATAAGTCTGCTTTAACCTTGTACCTGATGTTCATGTGTATCCAAACAGACAGGAAAGACAAGGTAGAGGTATTTCCTGCTCTCCTCTCTCTCTCTCTCTGTCTCCCTCTCCCTTATGAGTACACAATGATGATCCTACCGTGCCTACACCCAAAGAGCTGGAGCCAGAGAATTTGATATTCTGATTGCTTTCTCTGCCTATTTATCTGTCTGTCTGTCTGCGTGTCTGTTTGTTTGTCCCCATCTCTGTCTGTCTGTCTATCCCTCTCTCTCACGCTACTTCCGAGTATACAATGATGTTCCTGCCCAATCTACTTCTGAAGGGGTTGAACCAGAGGAGGATGTGGCCACGCCCAAATACGTCTCGGAAGCTATCCATCGGTCTCTTGGTGTTTGGAGGCCTGTGATGGAGGGTGGGATGGTCAAAAAGAAACAAAATCGGATCAAATCTTTAGTAAAAGTATAAGAGGCCAACAAAACCAAAGCTTAGTTGTATAATGATAATCTGGATTTATAGTGCTTAATATGAAATACTATCTCTAAGCACTTTACAGATGTTATTACACCGGTCATCAGATTGATTCACGGACAATGTGCACCTTCTCCCCTTCCTGGGGAGTATTCCTACCATATGGTCACCATGAGGACATATGGTGATAACTAACACAAAGGCTTTCATCATCCTTCCCGGTCCCTATTTCTCTCCTGGGTACGGAGTGGTAAATGTAGATTAATGCCTTACCAAAGGACATTAATGCTGCGTTGAAGATCAAACCCATGACCTTTGCATTTCAAGTCAAGTGCTTAAACCACTCCACTAAGACTCCTCTACATATGACGGCTGGGATTTCAGAGATAAAGTTTGAGATGATGGAGAGAGGTCAATCAGTTTTCAACTCAAGATCCATACAATATGGCCCTAATCTAGCCTAATACTTTTCATTAACAGCTTAACATTTTCTGAGTTGCTATCAAGAAGTGTCCGTGATGAGTTTCCTCTCTCCTGCAAACATTGCTCAGAAAATGTCTTGTAAGAGATTGGCAGCACCAATAAAGCCTTTGGCTTTCCTAGCTGTCCCCACATTCATATATATTTTTGTTGTTGTATTGTATTGTAAATGTTTCTCTTTAACTTGTACGCTATGTTCTGTATTTTATACGTTTGTTATGATGTTTTTATGATGAATGAAACAAAGTGCAATTCAATTCAATTCCATTCAAGAGGTGGGTACAAAATGATCTCTTAAATCATACAAAAACTATTGAGCATTCCAAATACACAAATGTGTTTCAAAAATATACATTACACAGTGACAATATTGGTAAATGAGAGATTAAATCATACCAAGTTTTCTGGTATATTAGCTTGATTTAACTGAGTCTGACTTCTGAGGTATTACCCCCTTATTTGAAAGCAAAGACAAGGAGATTAGATGATTTAAAAAAAAAGGTAAATTTCCTTTACACTCAAACGAATATCATCTTCATATAAACTTGATAATATAGAACTGCAATAAAGGATTATAGGCATAAATTTGTAGGGATAATAGATGTTGGGGCTCCAAGCTATTTATAGACAAATAAAGAGGCCTACGTTTCCTGTAATGATTGTTTGTTATCTGAAGGCATTTACAATGAGGGAATCCAAATACTTGAAGGGTACAGTTGAATATTTACAGACATCAAAAAGAGGTATAAAGGTTTAAAAATGTTAAGAGCTTCATTGTAGGAATACGATCCTTAGGATATGTTTCTATCTAAAAAGGAAAACAATCAATTATAGTTTTCTTAAATAATAATGATAAATTGAACAATATTAACAATAGACTGTCAGAACTCAAGTTTTTCATCAAGCATACATGTAAAGTGAAACCTGTCTATAAAGTCTACCCAAGGGAGACAAGAAAAGTGGTCTTTATAGGCAGGTGGTCTTCATGTACATGTTTCAATGAGAAACATTTTTCAAGGGAAACAAAAAATGTGGTCTTTGTAGACAGGTGGTCGCTAAAGCAGGTTTGACTGTATTTGCATATATTTGGACATTTTTAAGATCTAATGACACAAGAATAAAAAGCTTTGAGAAAAATTATTAGTCTTACTTTTTAAAAAAGTACCTCAATAGTGATAGCAAAATATAGAAAAGGGCTAAATAAGTGCCCACCCCCAAAGTTTTAATCAGGTTTTCCCTTTTCACAGGTCTATACAAAACATTGATATTACTAAAGGCACATGCTAGTCTACCATAACAAAAACAAAAACAACAATGATTGTAAGATTGCTAATGACAATATCAGGATTTAAAAATAGGAAAGGTTAGGAATGGGATTGTGACCTTAATGGAGGGGCCGGTTGATGACTGACCAAAACCAAAAGTATGCATCAAGTTCTTCAGAAAGAAAAGATTGAATCCTTATCGCATTCTATAAATAATGTTGTTTGTTGGTTAGAATTGATTTGATTCAAGTCTATTGGTTAATTTGTTTGATTGCTTGCAGGCTTTGATTATTATGAATATGTTGTTGGGAATCTTAGCCTTAGGCTCTAGGAGGCTAGTGAGGATTAAGATAGTCCCTCACGGGTAAAGGGAAAGAGAAAATAGATAACAATGTGATGATTGAGAGAGAGAAAGAGGGAGAAGGCAGAGGAAATGGAAGAGGAAGAAAGGAATACGGAGAGGGAGAGAGACAGATATAGAGCGGGAGATGACCAGACAGAGAAGAAGACAAAGAAAGAGACTTGTATGAAGACAAGAGACGTGTATATTACACAAGCAACAAACAAACAAATATGTAACAAAGTGAGGGACAGAATTGAGAAAGCACTCAGAGCTTAACAAATAAATACATGGACAGTTAATATACTGAGATGGCAAAGGAGAGAGAGAGAGAGAGAGAAAGGGGAACTGAAACACATTACTACTAGGGAATAAAGGGTATAAAGAAAAAACAAGAGAATAGGGGAAAGAAAGAGAGAGTAAGAGAGAGTAAGAGAGAGTAAGAGAGAGCCAAAAAGAGAGGCTGCAAAGGGAAATACACACACACACATACACCCACACACCTGTCTAGAGATAGACAAAAAAGAAACAAGTATAGAGGAATGTAGGAAATGAAATGGATTTAGAGTGAGAAGAAAAAACACTAAAAAACGAAGAGATTTTTTTTCATCTGATAAGAATAGAATGACGGTAGTGAAAAATATAAAAAATACAAATAGAAATAGGAAATGTTAAAGGAAGGAAGACAACACTGAATGAGGGGAGAATGGTGCCAAATAGATCCCAATCTCTCTCATCATTTCCTTTCATTGACCATGGCACATGTTATCTGTTCAGAGCCAAAACGGTGTTAAGACTGTGTAAAAGTATAGTCTGCAGGTACAGACTCTATTTGACACTTAAAGATAAAGTTGACTTCTCGTCGTGCGATTGCATTGTGAAAGAAACGGCGTGAAATCAATCAGAAAAAGTTGATAAGTATTGGTGTGTACTGCAAGGTTCTGGAGTCATCAAAATGATAAGAAATTTGGGCCAGTCTTGGTAAAGTTACAAGCACTGTACACACTGTAGAGGTGTCGTGGTCAAGTGGATACGTCACCTGAATATCGATCACAAGGTCAGCGGTTTGAGTCCCGCCGCGGCACTAATCTCCTTTGGCAAGACATTGATCTACATTTGCTACACTCAACCCATGTGATGTAAATGGGTACCTAGCATTGAGCTGAGCCCAATTCTGTCAGTCTCTGGATGAGTCAAAGGAGCAGATATAGTACAGGGTCTGGAGTGCAGTATACCACGCAGTATGTATAGTCTCACTGCTCAGACACTTTGTTAGGCATAACGACCGACAAGAGTTTGTACAAGTGAAAGTATGGTAGCCAACACCCTTCTGGCTCCTAAAGATGATACACCCTTGTAAGTTCATTCAATAATGGAATAAGATTTTGGGTAACAAATCAGGGGGGATGTTTCACAAAGACAAAGATCGACTTTAAGTTGGACTTAACTATGACAGGTCGTTTATGCCACTGTTTGCTCTCACCATTAACTGGCATTGGTCTCTCAAAGGAGGTAAAAATCATGGTCACATATCTACAGAATTTACATTTGTTGATAATTCATTATTGAAGGAAAATATATTATCTATAGATCATAATGGTGAGAGCAAACAGTGGCATGAACGGCCTGCCATAGCTCAGTCCAACTTAAAGTTAATCTTAGTCTTTGTGAAACATGCCCTGTTAACAATTGTTCTATTGATTGAATGATTGGGGTAAGAATGCAAACTTCAGTTGGGGAGCAATAAAGCTGACAGTCTCTATTCCCTTCTATTCTTTAAATGGAGAATGGATAAAAAGGAAGCGGGGAGAAAAGATGAATTACATGATAATGAGATTGATGGAGAAGGAGACAGAAGAAAAAGAGATTATACAGGAAAGGAAAGGGGCTAAATGAAGTACAGATAATTAAGATGATGAAGAAGAAAAAAATAAAGAGACAAAAGAGACATATACAGGAAAGGGCCCGAAGGAAAGGGGGGGGGGGGATGAAGTACAGCAAATTTAGATAATGAAGAAGGAAACAGAGAGGAAAAAAGACATAATTATAAAGGGAAGGTAAGGGGAAAAATTAGAGTACAGCAAATTTAAATTATTAAAAAGGAAACAAAGTGGAAAGAGAGAAAGAGAGAGAGAGAGAAAGAGAGAGAGAGAGATACAGGGAAGGGATGGGGGCATGAGGTACAGAAATTTGGATGATGAAGAAGGAAACAGAGAGGAAAAAAGACAGATACAATGAAGGCAAGGGGGAAATTAAAGTACAGACAATTTAGATGGTAAATAAGGGATCAGAGAGGGATAGCAGGAGGGAGAGGTAAAGAAGGGACCAGAGAGGTATAGGAGGAGGGAGGGGTAAAGAAGGGATCAGAGAGGGATAGCAGGAGGGAGGGGGTAAAGAAGGGACCAGAGAGGTATAGCAGGAGGGAGGGGTAAAGAAGGGATCAGAGAGGGATAGCAGGAGGGAGGGGTAAAGAAGGGATCAGAGAGGGATAGCAGGAGGGAGGGGTAAAGAAGGGATCAGAGAGGGATAGCAGGAGGGAGGGGTAAAGAAGGGATCAGAGAGGGATAGCAGGAGGGAGGGGTAAAGAAGGGACCAGAGAGGGATAGCAGGAGGGAGGGGTAAAGAAGGGATCAGAGAGGGATAGCAGGAGGGAGGGGTAAAGAAGGGATCAGAGAGGGATAGCAGGAGGGAGGGGTAAAGAAGGGATCAGAGAGGGATAGCAGGAGGGAGGGGTAAAGAAGGGATCAGAGAGGGATAGCAGGAGGGAGGGGTAAAGAAGGGATCAGAGAGGGATAGCAGGAGGGAGGGGTAAAGGAGGGAGGGGTAAAGAAGGGATCAGAGAGAGATAGCACTAGGGAGGGGTAAAGAAGATAGACAATAGAATAAAACAGGAAGTGAAGATGAGAAGAAAGGAAAAAGAATAGGTCAAAAGAAAGGGAACTCGTGCTTGAAAAATAAGAAAATTAAAAAAACAAAAATAATTGATATAGAAGGAAACTTGATAATGAATGATAATCCCATACACTTTGCGTGCGGATTTTCCTCACTACCGTCACTTCGTGAAAACAGGAACGAATTTATTCATTTTTAATAATTTTCAATCATGTACAAAAACAGTTTTTAGTAAGATTATGAATTTTCAACAGTTTACAAGGACCTGTTTTTAATGCTATAAAATTATTGGTTTAGTACTAATTCAGTAAGAAACCTGGAAATCCCTCAGCAATGTGGTAGTACTTTTACGTGCATGTCCTCTATTGCTATCAAAATCTTAAAGGCATCGTATCACAATGTTAAGTCTGAGATGCATGGCCCTACATGTTATTAGTGTCTGTGAGATGGTGTAATATTGAAGCTGTAAAAAAATTGAAATTCAAAATGTTCATGAAGTGCCTCAAAAAAGTAAGAATCTTTGAGTGACCGGTTTACCATACTCATTTTCCGGCTCAATAGACTGCAGTGTTATAAAATCCATTGGGAAAACAAAAAATGAAATTTTAATTTCCAATCATAAATATCTTGATAATCAGACAGACGATCGGCTTGTAAAAGTCATCAGATTCCTGACTGACCTAAAGGTTAATAATTATGATTGCAGCATGAGCTAAATCCAGGATTTTGTTTCAGAATCAGAAGCAATATTACCAAGTCACTTTAACATAGTATCCATAGCCTTTATAGGTCATCAGCTTCTTCATCTATCCCTCAAATTTTATCTCTTCACGGATATAGGACACCAAATCAAAGGTGAAATAAAAGAAAGAGGTTACAACCTAAATGTTTCTGATTTTCATCAAATGATTCAGGAATCGATACAGTTTCGCTACGCCAAACTAGGTTGAATTCTCATAAAACTGGGGCAGAAAACCAGATTTTAAGGGTTTTTTCTCCCGATTTCGAAACAGAGATAACATAGATCTGGGAACATAAATAGAAAACATGTTGAGGACTACGGGGACATACGTGCATGCTGCCACACATATTGATTTCCTACGTTCACTTTTCTTTTATCAATGAATAGTCAAACAAATTCTCAGATTTCAAAAAGATTTCAGATTTTCGAGATACTTGCAGTATTGTAAGCACGTGGGACTTAAAGGATGCTATCTAAGAGACCAATCAACAAGTCTTTTTGTTGGTTTAAGCTTGTATCCTGAAATGAAATTATGTCTCCCTAATATTACTTCGATAGGGTTGTAAGTTTAATTACTAAAACTGCACCCTAAATATACGAACAGATTTAAAGGCAGACTAGGCAAATGCACTAAAAATCAGCATGTATTAAGTGTTAATCTTTAGTTACATGAAACTTCCATGCTGAGCCGTGAATTGATATAAACATATTTCACCCTCAATCACTTTTTAATTGTTATTTATTTCAAAGTCTCATATAATTTGGAATTTTGGATACAATATCATGGCCTCTACCAAGATACACATTTATTTTATTTGTTTGTATTTGGACCCCTTTAATATACCTGGATAAAAGTTGGCCTACATTTGAGATCTACCATCAGAAACATGAACAAAAAACTAAAACAAAGAAGAATCGTACGTTGCCCCTGTATGACACAGATAACTTATCCTTTATATTCCATGTGGTTCACAATGACGTTATGAATATCGACATTATCTCACATTTAAGGTTGCATATGCCATTGTCTATTTGCATACATGTCGATCACTGGTTTTCGATAACTTTGCACGATTGACAGCTCAAAATACAAAAATCTTCAAAAATGCAAAATAAGAGAACATTTAGCTGATTGTGGAAATGGTTACAAAGCTAATGTTTCATAGCTTGCAGCTGATAGAACCTTATCTAGATGTAGTGACAAGGTTTGGCATCAGTTTTGACAATACTAGAAATGTGAAAAAGCAGCTTTCATGTTATTATCCTCTAAAATGTTGTCCCTATCAAGGTGCTTTCCAGATACTTTGTCATTTTTCATATGTACACAGTGGCTCATTCAGAGCAGTTACCAAACTGAATGAACATATCCTGTATTTGAGGGGGGGGGGGGGGGGAAACGGGAAGAAGGAATAAAGATATAGATGTATATGATACCTAAAGACTTGTTCAGATGGGTTAGTAAACTGCCGCAAAAGAGCTGACACAGGCATGAAATTTGCTACTGACTGCTGTACTTGCCCATTCAACGCAAGGTCACAATTATTGCCCATGAAGTCAACAATCGATACGCGCAGTAAGATATGCACAATGCCCTTAGATAGATAAATTGCCTTTGACTCTACAACTGAAATACATTTTTATCAGGCGTAAAGGAATTGAGTCACGGTTAAAACTATAGCTCCTCTGTGACCTCGAGCCTGCACTATGCTCCTTGACTTCATCTTGAGGCACTGTACAATGTAGAGATCACCTTGGGCAATAGTTTTAACCGCATCCCTCAAAGCAGTCAATATTTGTATCTCACTCATAAACATACAAATTTGTATATCTATATTCAATTTATATTTAATATAAGCATGCAAATCAGGTCTCACCTTTCATAAGGAGGTTTGCCTGCATATATCAGAGACTCTACGGTAGTCTTATCCTGTATCATGAGAAAAAAGTGAGAATACAAATTATCAATTTTTTTTCTTTTTTCTTTTCATAAGTGATATAAACAGGTTCATATTTCAGCAGGTAGATAAAGTTTGCATAAGGACAGATAATACACTTGCTTGCTACCATATAAAAAAAAAAATGTTTTACAATCTATATTGTATTTAAAGGCTTTAGTATCCAGAGAATGTTACTTCAAACAATTTTGGTAGACTCACTCTTTTAGGTTGTCAGAAAGTTTCAAAAATAATCTCATCTTCCAATAAATTTCCATTAAGGGAAACAGCTCACGCACACAACTTTGGTAGAAGTCTTCAAATCCAAAACTTTCTCATACAATGAACATTAAAAAAAAACTTTACCTGAAACTTTTAACGACCTGTTTCTCTGACTTTCCTTTATATGTACTACAAAATCCAAGAATAGCAGTGCAAAGAGACAGACTGATTCACAAGCTTTTCATATTACACCCTTTAGAAAAACAAACCACAAACTGAAATTTTGGTTTTGCACCGGCTGCGTTTTACTCTTAAAAAGTGCAAGGCAAAAAACTTCAGGATGTCGCTGGGTTTCAATGATATTTTTCTTCATTTAGATTGATCAACTTGAGGTGAGTTTAGACTTCGACTGAAAACGTCATTTCAGGTCTGACCCTTGTTCAACTTTACTCATTTGATTTCATCTTACTCTGCTGATGTTGTAGATCTGTGTGAAGAGCTGAGTGAAGCAAAAGAATTCCAACATGCAGCCCGTCACGAAGCATCCATACATCAGACTGCGCTCGTAACGGAACCTGAATAATGCCTGTAAGACGTAGAAAAGGAGAAAAACAAATGGAATCATTGATTTAAACATTTGAAATTTGAATAAAATAAACAAATCCCTGTTAACAGCCAGACTTAGACCTTATGAAAATAATAAGACACATATAATGTTAAAAAGAATTTATAATAGACCAGTAGGATAATAGATAAACTGGGATATGAATGACATTGGATTATACCAGCTGGATACTGGGCAAAGTGGCACTGTACTAAATGACGACCAAGGAGCGATAATGGATAGACATCCTTGGTATTTTTAAAAACATCTTGCAGGTCATTTGAGCTTCTGCTTATTTTGGAGCTCCAGTCTGTTGGAAATTATTTTCAGCTTTTTATAACCGTCTACTTTTATGGACACATACACATTATTGACGATTGCTTTACCGGAATGTTAAGAAAGCATGAATATGGTTGTAAGTAAGAAACCAGGGGACTAACAACTTTAAGTCCTCTCTGAGGAACTTGGTAGTTAGGATTAAAGCCTTACCAAAGGGCACAAGCACATTGAATTGGGTTTGAACCAGGACTTACCGGTTATGAGACCACTGCTCGGAGAGGACCTTACGCTGTCGGTCCTCTGGTTGCTTACTAACAAGCACTTATGCTTTCTTAGCAGTCAGGTAAAATAACCACCACTACTGAGCCATAAAAAAATGAAATGCCATGAAAATGAAATTGAAGGGGGGTGTTTCACAAAGACAAAGATCGACTTTAAGTTGGACTTAATTATGGCAGGCCGTTCTTGCCACTGTTTGCTCTCACTATTTACTGGCATTGGTTTCTCAAGGGACATACAAATCATGGTCACAAATCTACAGAATTTTACATTTGTTGATAGTTCATTATTGAAGGCAAAATTATTTTCTAAAGATCATAATGGTGAGAGCAACCAGTGGCATGAACAGCCTGCCATACTTAAGACTAAGCTTAAAGTCGATATTAGTCTTTGTGAAACAGCCCCCAGGTGTTACTTACTGTGTCGCAGGTTGAACATGGATTAAAGTAATAAAAGTGCAGAACGTTTATGAGCAGAGCTGTGCTACTCAGTAGGAAACCATAGAGAAGGAGTAGCACAAATGTCCACTGGTTGTCCTCTCCTACACAATTATTGATCCTGTAGTGTGAATGAGAATGGTAATCATATAGTAATCATATGATAATTAAATAGTAATGCTATGGTAATAGTACATTAACCATATGACAATCACATAGTAATGCTATGGTCATTCTTTGATAGTGCTATCGCAAAAAATCCACTGGTTGTCCTCCTAGACACTCCTATATAATGATTGATCTTGCTCAAAGATAAGAGACCCATTTAACAATGCTATAGTAATTATATACATGTATTAACAATATGCTAATCATATGGGACGGTTATGGTAATTCTTTGATAATGCTATTGCAGTCATATGGTAATGATATGCTGATCTTATAGGATTCAAGCAGTAATCAGATAAAATAATATGGTACGCATACTTCTTTACAAATGATAATTCAGTGTTATCATCAGAGTACCAACATGGATTTTTAATGGATACAGACAAATTTATTTTCATGTAAAAAGTTTCATCAAACAAACAAACACAAATACATTCAACAAATTTTCAATTCATTACCACAACTTTGCCTCACCTTTAAAATGGATACACAAAGTTTATTTTCATGTAAAAAGATTAATCAAACAAACAAAAACAATACATTTTCATTTCATTACCACAACTTTGCATTAACATTAGAATGGATACAGAAAATTTGTATTCATGTGTAAAGATTTACTAAACAAACAAACACAATTAATACAAAAAGTTTTTATTCATATTAAAAGATTTATCAAACAAACAAACACAAATACATTCAACAATTATAATTTCACTACCACAACTTTGCATCACCTTCCTTATGGATACAGACAAGTATTTCATTCTGTAAAAAGATTTAATATTGAACGAACAAGCACCTGCAATGTCAGGAGGGCAGCTAAACAATCCATCAAATAGGAAGAGAAACTGTTATCAACTTCCCCACTGATTCCTCAGAAATCAAAGCAAATGTCAATCAATCAAAACTAGAATGATCCACTTAGAAAAAACACAGAATTTGTGGAAAAAAGGCTTTTATCTTGCTCTTTTTCATCCATGACTCAATGACATAGACATTTAAAAAATAATCAGGTTTTATTTCAAATTTCAGGCCAAGGCATTTTGAATAACTCTGTGGATCTCCTATTGAAATGGGCAAACATGATAATGTAGAGGTGTTGTGGTCTAGTGGATAGATACATCATTGGACTGTGAATCACATGGTTCATGGTTCAAATCCCTCCGTGGAGTGTGAGATATATGTATTTCAAAAGGACAAAAAAAAACAGTTGGTTAAAGGTGAGTCAAAGTAGCTTCTGACTAAAAACTGAATGAACCATGAAATGTATGAAGATAAATAAGTTTGTAAATATATGGGTCTTTAATAATTCATAGTGGTAACTGACTTGTATGTTCTCCTGTTCTTAATTTACTAAGTAATTTTACCTGTCCTGCTTCAAGAGGAAATGAAAATTACCATTAATGTGCAAGCGCGCTAAACATACCTAACTTTTCCTCTTAAATGTGAAAGCAACAAAGCATGAACCAATTACTGATTTTCAAGCAATGTACCTTGTGAAATCTTTACCTTTATTAAGAGTACCGTATTGCATACACGATACGTCCCTAAAGACTCACGAAAGGGAATCGAGGGATGTCACATAACAAAGAGACAAAACAAAGGAAGGAAGACTAGCACAGATGTTTCACAAAATTCAATGTCCCAAGGACATATGTCAATTTTAGGCCTCTCCATATCTACCTTTCCTGTCAGACAGTTCCTTGTTTAGACGGATGGAAGCAGGGTGTTCACACTGTAATACAATAGTAGCAGGGTGTTCACGCTGTAATGAACTAAACGTTCTTTGGTAGGAGAATAGCCTAACTAATACAATAGTAGCAGTGGGCTCACATGGCATTTAACAACTTATTCTTTATTTGAATTGATATCCACTGGACATGATTTAAGGTCAAGAATGGAGAAAAGTAGGAAGAAAAAGGAAAAGTAGATGGGTAGGGAGAGAGAGAGAGAGGGTTGGGAGAGAGGAGTGGGAGGAGGGGAGGAGGGAGAGAGGAGGGGAGAGAGGAGAGGGTAAAGAGGGAAAGAGGGAGAGGGAGAGAGAGGGAGAGAGAGGGAGAGAGGGAAAGAGAGAGAGAGAGGGTTGGGAGAGAGGGATGGGAGGAGGGAGAGAGGAGGGGAGGGAGAAGAGAGGGAGAGGGAGAGAGAGAGGGGATAGGGAGAGAGAGAGAGGGGGGAGAGAGAGGGGGGGTTGGGAGAGAGGGGTTGGGAGGATGGAGAGAGGAGGGGAGGGAGAAGAGGGAGAGAGGGAGAGAGGGAGAGGGAGAGAGATTAGCGGAAGGGAGAGAGGGGCGGGAGAGTAAGAGAGGGAGAGAGAGAAAGAGAGAGGGGGAGGGTAGGAAAAGACAGAGGAAGAGATGGAGAAAGTTTGTGTATGAGACCGAGAGAGGGAAGAAGAAATAAATTTAATTTGTAACGGCTTCATCCAAACCTGTAATGGATTAGATTGTGATCCAATAATCCATTAATAGAAACATTAAAAAAAAAAAAAACACTTGTCATACAGTCTAAATAATATTTTGAGATAACTGATAATCATCTCTCCGAATCAGCATCTTGAATAGTATGCTGGTGACTTCATGAGCGTTTAAAAATTGTTTCCATCATGCAAAACCTTTTAGACCATACAATAAACTCGCGTACGTGTTGACATCACTCTCAATATTGTTCCAATTTCAACTGAGATGACGTTTCCTTTTGATGATTAGTTTTTCATCTGCGCCCCTTGAATATTTGAGGATAAAACCTTTGTATGGAAACCTCTAGATTTCTAGTGATGACTATTGAAGATGTATTCAAATATTCAAAATATGTCTGTTTAATTATATGGATTTCTTATGTTGTTCATTTCCAACCCTGAAATAAAGCATGAAATGTTAACAGGGAAACCTCTTGGCTTTATGAATGAATATCGTACCTCTTTAATGCGCTTTTTTTTAAAGGCCAACAAAAAACAACAAGGGAAACGCTCTCGGCGGTCTCGCCTGCATAACGCAATTCAATATGATAAACCAGAAACATCAATAAAGTAGTGCTCATCCGCATCTCGCAACAACAAATATCGTAAATTTTATGTGGTACACTTTTGAACTGGTCAAAAAATAAAAATTTGATGCCCTGGAAGGGACATAATTTCATTTCATTTGCATAAAGTACCATAAATAATCAATGGAGCAAAATCTCACAATTCTGTGTAGAAGTTTAGTGTTCCAAATTTAGCTCTACCAGATAAGGCAAACCAAATCAAAATCAGTCAAGAAAATGAGGGAAAAGAAGCAATTTTTGTTATTTTTGGAATAAATTTGCATAAATTACCATAATTAATTAATGGAGAACAATTTCAAAATTCTGTGTAGAAGTTTAGTGTACCAGAGTTAGCTCTAAGATATAAAGCAAACCAAATCAAAATCGGTCGAGAAATGAAGGAGAAGAAGCCTTTTTTGTGATTTCGAATAATTTGCATAAATTAGCATAGATAATGAATTTCACGATTCTGTGTAGAAATTTTAAATCCCCTCCTAGCCCTATCATATGAAACAATCAGAATCAAAATCGGTTGAAAAATAACGAAGAAGAAGCATTTTGAAAATCTTAATGTTGATGCAACAACAAAGTCTAAGTTTGTTGACCTTAAATGACCTTTGATCTTAACTTAGTGACCTGAAATTCTACTCACATGATTGGTGAGACTTGATAACCCTATAGTCCAAGTTTCATTGACTAAGAACTTAAACTTTCAAAATTATATCAAAAATTCAAAAATTTAACCTAAGGTTAAGTTTTTCGATGATGATGCTACAACATAGTCCAAGTCTGTTGACCTGAAATGACCTTTGACCTTGACTTTGTGATCTGAAATTCTACTCACATGATTGGGAATACTTGATTACCCTATAGTCAAAGTTTCATTGACTAAGAACTCATACTTTAAAAATTATATCAAAAATTCAAAAACTTCAAATTAGGTTAAGTTTTTGATGTTGACGCCGCCGCCGCCGTCACCGCCGTTGCCGTCACCCGAAAAGCAGCGCCTGTGTCTCGCTTTTTGCTACCTAGGCGAGACAAAAACAAATAAAGGAGTGGAAATATACAATCCATTTAAACCCCCCACAAAACCAAAAACAAAGACAACAATTAAATTGTTCTTTAGTATGCCACCTGGATTTCTTTCAAAATAGGAGGAGGCAGTATTTTGGAATAGAGGGGGTGCAATATATTCCTAAAATCTTCTGACAAGCAAAACTAAAAAAGTCATCACATATATTTAGTACCTCTTTAATCCGATTTTTTTTTTAAAGGCAAAAAAAAAAGGAGTGAAAATATACAATCCCCCAAAACCCCCCACAAAACCAAAAACAACAATTAAATGTTTTTCAATACCCCACCTGGATTTTTCAAAATAGGAGGTGGCGAGAGCCAGATGCCCTAATGCCCCCCCCCCCCCCCCCCCAAAAAAAAAATCTGCCAGTACCCTGGGGAAACATCTTAAAGTGCTTCATTCACTTTCAAACTAAAGGGTTGAGTTTTGAAAAGGTAGAGTGAGTCCTTTGGCATTTTACCTACTCTTTCTCATGACCCGGGTGTTACATTGAATGGGTTCTCATCCCTGCCATATGATCACTAATATTCCTTGGCAAAGCATCAATCTACATTTGCCACTCTCCACCCAGGTGGGGTAAAAAGAAGAAATTCCTTGGATGCCCTATCAGGGCAGTGATGCTTAAAGGACCACTGCACTACTTATACATGTAGCTACTTGCGCCCTCTATATAACAAACAATGCACAATCGGTGACCATTAGTCCCCATGATCCTCTTTTTCTTATGTTAATTGAGAACTGATTTGATGAGATAACCACCTGTCCAGTGACCTTGAAGGGTGGTTTAGTCCCTCTTGTACACTAGTACAGATGGGCTTCAGTCGTGGTAGTAATTTTCAAAGCACTTTGGAACT